AGATAAAGCTATTGCCATTCCCAAGCAGAGGCACAAAGGAAGGTGATACCCAACAGCACTCGAAGGAATACCTCCTTTCTTCTCCACTGGATCCAATAAACTCCACTAAAAGAGGACAACTGAGGCAATTCTTAGTTTAACTTCCTGAATCACAAAGCAGGGCAGAGAAGTGGTTTTGGGGGCTGGAACAATGTCTCAGCATTCAACAGTACTTGCTGCTCTTGCAGAGGACTTGAGTTTAGTACTGAGCATCTAAATGATAGCTCAGGATAAATCCAGGTCCATGGGGTATGTCTTCCAACCTCCACTGGTCAAAGGCACACATTAATGGTGTAGAAAAACACTCATTTACATAAAATAAAAATAAAACAACTTTTTAGGGGGCAGGGTCTTTCTATTATGTAGTTCTGGCTGTCCTGGGACTCACTAGGTTAGAAAATCTACCAGCCTCTGCCTGCCTGGGTGGCTTAGTGGGGCTTGGAGGGTGTGCTGGGGATGGTAACAGAAAATACCCAACGTCCATAGAGAACTGGGAGTTAAGATCTCAGCCATTTTTAGTGTGATCGCCATTACAAATATGGACATGAATAACTCTAAACAGAAGTTACAAGGATAAAGCATCTAATGAAACCTGGCATATTAGCTGAAGTGAAATGTAAGATAAGCTATGTCTCACTGGTTCAGTGTTAAACTGTAAAAACAATTTTTATCACACAAGTGCTATGGGATACAATAAAATGTGTTAAATATGTTAAGTATTAATATCGTAAGATTTCAAGAATTACAGATTAAAGGTATCCTATTGATAAACACCTCCTAATCGTCTACCTAAATGACTTTATAATTCATTAGAGGAAACTTTGGAAATGAGGAAGCCTAGGTTTAAAGGTCTGCAGACCAGGGCTAGGGAGCAAGCTGTTATTGAGTTCATTCCCCAGGAATCAAAGTTTAAAAAAAGCACACTATGCTGGTGAGTTCATCCCTTGCTTCCAAGTATACACCCAAACAAAAAGAGGAAATTCATGATGGAGGACTTTCCCTTCCAATATGAAAACCTAGTTTTTTTAAAATATATACACATATATAAACGTGCTGTAATGTAGTATCTTTTAAAAAATTATATTCGATTGTACAGCAATTTACCAATTTAGAATTTTTACAATTCACATCTTTGTCTTTATGACCTTTTCCTCCCCACTTAGAAAAGGCTTACTCATTTCAAGACTATACTTTTAAAATTCATAAACTGGTGATAGCTCAGTGAGTCAGCCACCAAGGCTGACAACCTCAGCTCAATCCCTGCAACCCACATAGTGGACAGAGAGAACATCCATTTATGGACATTGCACAAGCATCCAACCATCAAATAGTAATTAAACAAATGTAATTTAATGAATCTTTTTTGGGGGAGGGTGGGAGGTAGGGTCTTAGTGTGTAGTCCTGGCTGGCCTGGAACTTGCAATGCAGGCCAGGCTGGCCTCAAACTACTTGATTGAGGCCTCGGAGCTACTTGTTTCTGGTCCTCAAGCACTGAAAAATATAATTACAAATAAATAAATTTTTTATAGTCTTACGCTACTTCTAAAGTTTATTTTTCCCTAAATTTTGGATTTATTCAGAAATTTTACTATAAGCAAAAGCTCAAACTTCTAAATAACACTAATTATGAAATCTCCTCCATTCAACCCACAGTGAACTCCTTAGCCACGCCTTGTTACATGAATCCCCTACTGTCTTCTAAATGATGTGGACTTCTAAAATAAGCACCTGAAGTGGACTAACACATTTTATTACTGGTGTTTATTTCCTAAGATGTTTTTTTACCAACATCTTTTCTTATAGCAACAGTTATTTTGAGTAGCAAAAACTGCTAACTTCAATTTTTTTGATTATTAAATAACTTAAAAATGTGTTTACATATACCCATACTTTACGTGTTCACTTCTTCCATTTTTATAATGAAATACTGTTCCCTTTTGATCGAAAACTTCCAATATCTACCTTATCCAAATATGTGATTTTCAATTTTGATGTTTTGAAAAATAGGAATTAACACCACTTTTATGTTTACAAAACTTTTTCAGTGGGGCCAATGAAATGGCTCCTTGCCATCAAGTCTGCAGTTGAATTTTGCATGCTGTTCTTTGACCCATTCATGCCCACCACACAACCCCTTCCAAAACAATGTAAGGATGGAGCCTATTTCTTCATGTGGATCAGGTCCATCCCAAATATGGATCTGGTATCATGTTCCTACAGCCTCAGACCCTTCTTCAGTACTTCTTGATGTGCAGCTCTCACAGCAGTAAGCTGTTTTCATTAATTTCCTCTTTAGGCAATGTGATTTGTTTTGTTTTGGTTGCATTAATTTATATATATGGTATTAAGCACTGTGTTGGTTTCTTTTCTTGCTGCTGTTTTAAAACACTCAACTAAAAAAGCAACTTAGGAAAGGGTTTATTTTGGGTTCATAGTTCAAGAATATAGTTCATCATTGCAAGGAGTACGGTAGTTGCCCTTACCTCTCTGGCGCATGCACACACCCACACACCCTCACTCAAATGTAAATATGGGTTATATTGCATCTAGTTAGCAAAATGCCAGTGCTCAACTTGATTTTTCCTCATGATGCTGCCCACATTCCAGATAGATCTTCTTCCAGTTAAACCTTTCCTAAGAATGCCATTACACACATCCAGAGATGTTTCCATGACTGCAAATCCAATAAAATTGACAATAGTGATTAGGAATCACAAGTAGTTTGATTAAGATGGAGAAGATGTGGAGAAAGTGGAACCCTCCTCCATTGCTGGTGGAAATGCAAACTTGTACAACCACTTTGGAAATCAATCTGGCGCTTTCTCAATTAGGAATAGCGCTTCCTCAAGATCCAGCCATACCACTCCTAGGCAAATATCCAAAAGATGCTCAAGTATACAACAAGGACATTTGCTCAACCATGTTTGTAGCTGCTTTATTTGTAATAGCCAGAAGCTGGAAACAGCCCAGATGCCCCTCAACTGAGGAATGGATACAGAAATTGCGGTACATCTACACAATGGAATATTACTCAGCAATAAAAAACAAGGAAATCATGAAACTTGCAGGTAAATGGTGGGAACTGGAAATGATCATTCTGAGTGTGGTATCCCAGAAGCAGAAAGACAAACCGGGTATATACTCACTCATAAGTAGATACTAGACATATAACATAGGATAAACATACTAAAATATGTACACCTAAGGAAGCTCATCAGGAAGGACGACTCTGGCTAAAGATGCTCAATCCCCATTCAAAAAGGCAAAGAGGATGGACATTGGAGGAGGGAGAAAACAGGGAACAGGACAGGAGCCTGCACAGTAACAAGGCGGATGCTGAGACTCATAGCTAAACTTTGGTCAGAGTACAGGGAATCCTATCAAAGAAGAGAGAGTAAGACCTGGAGAGGGCAGGAGTTCCACAAGGACAGCAACAGAACCAAAAACTCTGGGCATAGGGGTCTTTTATGAAACTGATACTCCAGCCAAGAACCACTGCATAGAGGCAGCCTATGGCAGTTGGGTATCCAAGTAGGTTCCACACTAATGGGGACAGGGACTGTCTCTGACATGAACGGATTGGCCTGCTCTTTCATCACCTCCCCTTGAGGGGGGAACAGCCTTACCAGGCCACAGAAGAAGACAATTCGGCCACTCCTGATAGACCAGGATCAGAGGGAAGGGGAGAAAGACTTCCCTTTTCAGTGGAATGGGAGAGGGACACAGGTGAGGAAGAGGGAGGGTGGGATTGGGAGGGGAGGAAGTATGGGAGGATACAAAATGAATAAACTGTAATGTGTCTAAGTCTGTGTTCTTTGTATTAATTCTGTTTGTGATTCAGTGAACTTCTTGGATCTTCTTGGATTTTTAGTTAATTCAAACAGATTAAGAATTTTTTTTATTTTTTAAATTTTATTAATTACACTTTATTTACTTTGTGTCCCCCCTGTAGTTCCCTTCCTCCACCCCTCCCAATCCCTTCCTTCCTCCTCCTCCTCCACGCATGCCCCTCCCCAAGTCCACTGGTCGAGGGGAGGTGGTCTTTTCCTGCCTTCTGATCCTAGTCTTAACAATAATTTTCACTTCTCTCTCCTTATGTAATTATATGTTTGACATCTTAAATTTGTTCAAGTGGCCAATAGCTAAGCTCGTTTTGTCTATCTACCTTCTCTTTTACCTCCTTAAATCTGCTATAGTTTCCACCCAATATGTGTCCTCAGATTCTTAAAAGGATGTTGAATCTCCTGAAACTACCTCAGTTGTGAACTATTTGATGTGAGTGCTGGGTACCAAACTCAGGTCCTTTGGTGACCCCTGAGCTATCTCTCCAGCCTGAAATGGCTTTACTCACCAGTATAGCCAGGCACTTGAAATGTGGAATACATTACTTAAGTGCATAAATTTCTTGAAAGTAGTTTTCAGTCTTCAGTTCTATAGCTAAGCTAAACATCCTAACTCTACTGATCTATTTTTAAAAATGGAACAAATACCTTCCCAACATAAATATGGAGGAAAGGGTCAAATTATTAGCATAGACTTCTTAGGTGGAAACACGCACCGGTAAAGAAGTAGAAGCAGGCCTAGAAATATAATTTGGGAGTTTCTATAGAGATGATGTATAAAATCAAGAGCATGGATGGAATCACCAAAGGAGTAAACATAGGAAGGTAGGAAATTAGTTCAACAGGAGTGATGAGAATTCAGTACAAGAGAATGGTGGCAGACCAATCTTTTAAGAAGGTAACCTGTTAGCTTAGCCCTATCAGCAGTTTACTCAGCCCTTCCCCAAATACCAACTACACCTTAAAAGTGAAGGGCAGAAAGGGAACACGCTGGGAAAAAGGGAAGAAACAATAGGAGTAAAAGCAACAGAACATAGCATATAGTACATAATCTATTTCTGAACCTGCTATGAAAGGATTAGAATGTCTAGTACCTGATAAGCATGATATATGACAAACCTTTGGTTTATTGAAGACTTCGATTACATATTAGTTTACTGTGGGTGCTGTCAAATCACCACAAAGCAGTGCTGCTTACAACAGGAATTTACTTTCTCAATTCTGAGATTAGAGGCAGGGCTGTATTCCCTCTGCAGCTCTTGGGAACAATCGACTTTATGCCTCTTCCAGCTTCTGTTTTTGGCTGTATCACTCCAATCTCAGGACCCCTGGTCACACTGCCGCCTCCTCTTCCATGTCTTCTATAATTCCCGGTTTCCCCTCATAAGGGGATTTTGTGACAATTTGGGCATCACTGTAATGAATTCCAAACCAGGGGGAGAGGCGGTTTAGATATGGCACTCCATCACGTTGGGATGTCTTCTATTTTGTACCAAGCTAGGTATAGGAGGACAAGGTACGACTAACAAAAGAACTTTTCTGCGAAGTCTTGCCTGAGTAGCTAGTGTTGCACACATCTAATCCAGTGCCGTGAAGGACAGTACACTCCCCCTCATTTTACAGACAGCGAAAGAAAATGAGGCAGAAAGCAAAGCAGGAAAGAAACCAGGTACCTTTCTTTTTTTGTTTTGTTTGTTTGTTTTTCAAGACAGGATTTCTCTGTTTAGTTTGTTTTTCAAGACAGGGTTTCTCTGTTTAGCCTTAGGTTGTCCTGGACTCCCAACTCACAGAGATCGGCCTGTCTCTGCCTCCCAGAGGGCTGGGATTACAGGGTGCACCACCGAGCTCAGTGCAGGTGCCAATCCAACTCAATCCTGCAATATCAAGTGACAATATGGTTTCAAAAGGTTAAAAAAAATAAACTATCAAGATGACAATAAAAAACAAAGAATCTCTGCAGGAAGGAACATGCCATACAAAATATTCAGAGCTACACCCTACTGTGAAAATGAAAGAATGTAAAGTCACCTATTTGAATGCTTAATCATTAATACTACTTAATCACTCAACCTATTAAATGTTGAAATATCACTTGGGTGTATTGGGCTATTATTACAAAAGTTAGTTTCATGTTATTTCTTCTACTTAAAACACTAGAAAATCTTAAATTACAATTGTGGCACACACTGTATTTCTATTAAAATAGCTGTCTTGGCTAGGAACATAGCTTAGCTTGGTTAGTAACGTGCTTTCCTGAAATGCACAAGGTCCAGAGTTTTGATTCCCAGCACCATGTAACCATAGTTTATACTCACAGCACTTAAGAGAAGGATCAGGAATTCACAAAGCCTGGGTGATGAGACAGGAGAGGGACAAAAGAGAACAGAGAGAAGTACATGAAAGCATGATCTCACACTGTGGTATTTTATTCAATCTAAAATTGTTTCAATGCACACTGTGGCAAGTTGATTATAAGCGCTAAGATCTTCAGCATTAACAAATAACCCTGCCACCACAGAGCTTACATTACCTACTATACATTTTCATGTGTGATCATGCATAGAAATAGTAATACAATAATTGCAACCTTTGTGGTACAAATAACAAGGCTTGATTTAGAAATATCAAATATAAATATGTAATTCCAGACTAATGAAAACTTGCCTTGTGATACAGTAGTTTTTAGTATTACATAATATTCACCCAGAAGCTTTTATTTGTTTTGTTTTGGATTGGAGATAGGATCTCACTATGCAGCTCTGAATGGCCTGAACCAGGTTGACTTAGAACTCACAGAGATCGACCTACCTCTGCTAATGTTATCAGTTTCCTAATAACCTGCCCTGGCTTCTTGGTCCTCTCTAATTAGTTTGCTCCTTATGATTCAATTTGAGAAGTTCAAGTGTCAACATGCCAGCTATTCACATATAACAAGAACTATTTCACTCTTAGAGGTCACTAGAGTGAGGCAAAATAAAAATAGGGTACCTATTTTAAGAGACAGTTTTAGTTTTGTTAAGTAAAGATACAGTTCTGAAGTTTCTTTTAGGCTTAAATTAAACAAAGTTATTTCTGGCCTAAACTGTGCTTCAAAATTCAGTGTACAAATTTATCTTCTAAGCTCAAACAACTCACTAGTTCTCTCCTATTGAGACCTTCACATAGCAAAACCTTTCCAAACAGAGCTTCTAAAAAGGGCTAACCACCATTGTAACTCCAGTTCCAAGGGAATATAATGTCCCCCTTCTGGGCTCCACAGAAACTACACACATCCTACACAGACTTAATGTGCAGGCAACACACATACATACATATTCCAACACACAAAAATAGTCTTCAGTGATAACAATGAAAACAATATAATATATATTTTAAAGGCACACTTTTATAAAAGTGTTTGTTTTTCATCAAGTATTACTGACATATGGACAATTACAGAGAAACAATGGTTTAAACACCTAAAACTATTCAATGCCTTTTTTGGTTGAAGTCTACCAGCATCTGAAGCACAGATTACTAAGCAATGAGTGATCCCTTCACTTTTTAGCTGCAGAGGTGTGCTTACTCAAGAAACTGGTTCAACACTGTGCACCATCTGTCAGTTAACTGGCATAGTGACTTAAAAAAACAAGAAAAATTATTCCTATTTGGAGGACGAAAACTGCCTAGGTATGGAAAATTCTAATTAATACTTGCTAAACAGGAGTCAAGCTAGTTTTTTAGTTGGTGTATTTCCTCTGTGAGCATGGGTTTTCTCAAACAGGCTATTACTTTATTCTGAAGAACTAGCTGGATAAATAGGTCATCAAGTATTAATTCAGAAATTCAACTTACTTTGGCTATTGGTTGAAGGTGCCCAAGTTTTTTAGCTAAACCTCAACTATAAAAATTGATAAAAGCGCACAAGCTTAGTAAGAATCTGCCTGCATTTGACAACTGTCACATACAGAAGATACACATGAGTAACTCTGACATAATGGTACCCAAATTTATCTCTAGCTTACTCTGCGCCAAGTACTTCACTAAGGATGTTTACAAGGTATCACAAATACTTTGTCTTCTTAGAAACCTCAGGAAACTACGTTTCCCAATTGTCAGTGCCCTCCAGATAATGTGGACTGTGATGACTGGGATTCCTGGAGTTACTGTTGTTTTCCACGGGGTCTCGCTAAATTGCCCAGGTTAGTGTCTAACAACGCTCCCATCCCAATCTGTAGAGTAGCTAAATTACAAAAAGATACTAACACAGATGTGGGAGGCTCGTGATTAGAGAATGTATATATGTATTAGGTGGTAAGGGCTGACTAAAAACTAAAGAATTTCTGTGCTATATCTAAGTGTTTAGGAAAACCCAAGACTTACAATGCAAATACACAAGATCTTTCAAAAGACAGGAAAGAAAAAGCAAAAATTAAAAGCTTACCTCAAAGGGAGCAGGGACATTAAGAGCCTTGCCTAGTGTATGCACTAGTGGCCCCCACCCCGATGTGTGCCTAAAATTATGCATATCCCATTAAGGAACAATGGTGAATTCTAAGCTAGGCAAGGAGCACAGGCTTTTAACCCTATCAGAGGCAAGAACTGAGTGAGTTCAAGGCTAGCCTGGTATACACAAGTTCCAGGCCAACCAGCCTATACAGTGAAACCCTGTCTCCAAAAAACAAAACAACCTCCTGAATACATAACTACAGAAATATTACTCTGCTGCTCTGTGTTCGAACATGGCAAGTCAACTCCATTTACTTTCTACCAGGTGCTTTAGTTTCTTCAAAAACACTTAAGTAAAAAAAAATGGTACTCTCATTTTGCTAGATTAAAAGAGGCACCAAAAATTCAACCAACTGCCACAAATATTCAAAATTAAATTCTAACATTTGCTAGGCAACACTACACTGAACAATGCTTTATATTAATTCTAATGTTCAACCGAGGCACCTCCAAGACAACACATTTCAAGCAGCTGTAAGGAATTGGCTGTTGCAACTTCTAAAATCTTGCAATTAAAAAACAAAACGAAACAAACAAACAAAAAAAAAAACCTTACCGGGGTTCTCGAATCAGAACCCCGACATAATAATAAAAAAATACACTCACGTTAGCTGCCATGTACATTCTTCTTCAGAAAGACCCCTTGCAATGACATCAAAAATTTTCCATGGTTACATGAAGTGTAAGCTTACACTGTACACATGAATTTTTTAAAGAGAGCATTAAAAAAAAAAAAAGGGCTTGCTTTTTGTTTTGCATAATTTGGTTTAATGAGTCCCAAGATTCATTAAATCCTTTCCCACGAAACTGTAAAGAATATCTAAAAATAAGGTCATCGCCATTTTCTAAATATTTACATTATAATTCAATACAGACAGCTCCGTGTTAAAGTTTAAGCAGGCAAATATGGAAATGACTTGAATTACAAACAGAAGCAGTAGGATGTGCACGGAGACCGGTTAACAGCAAAACCGAAAAGAAAAAGGAAAAAAAAAGACAAGTATATCGTCACACTACGTACAATGAAATGGGTCAAGCAATCCAGGTTAAAATAAAAAAGACAGCCAGGTTCTTAGACACACACACACACACACAAATAGAATGAGGAAAGATCAAAATATTTTGAAGAGTCTGGCCAAGGAAAGGTCCGCTTTCATACCTCCTGTTTGCAATCATTTTACACCAACCTTCCTAGCCAACCTCTAGGTTTGAAAATTGCAGCGGCATCTAAAGGCCGTCCTTTCTAACATTAACATTCTGCGACATTCTTACACAAAGCACCAGTCCTGTATCTCCAATGAGCAAAAACTAAACCTTTCTTTCTCCCACATACAGCCTTCGCCACCCTCTTCCTAACGAACCCTAAGCCACTTCTACCCATTAATGGAAATGGAAAAAAAGAGCGCAGCGGCAAATTGGCAAATGAAAGTCGTGGCTTCACCCTCGGGGTGAGGACCGGGAACAACCAGGGGGTGGAGTCCCGGAAGACCCCCGTTCACACGCTTTCGCGCAGGGGCGCGTGTGCGTGTGTCCGCTCGCGAAGGAGGCGGGCACCTCCCTACCGCCCTCCCGGCCCCCGCAAGAGGCTTCGGGGGCGAAATCGGCGGCGCCCAGCGTGCGGCAAGGCCGGAAAGCGTCCCGTTAGAGCCGACTTCACCCGTCAGGAATGCGCTCCGCCCCCGCCGCCTCCGCGCGGCGGCGGCCCCGGGTCTCGCCCGCTCGGCGGCCCCGGAGAGCTCCGGACAGCGCAGCGGCAGTCACGACACCGTGGGGCCGCGGGCCGGCCGCACCCGGGGGCGGCCGCGCGGGTCTCCCAGTCCCAGACAGGCCTGTGCGACGCCTGGCATCCCTATCCGCAGGGGAGGGGCCCGGCTCCGTACCTCAGCTCCTCAGGGCGGCGGCGGCGCGGGGCGGCGGGCGAGCAGGCCCATCCCGCGGAGACAGAGCGCAGGACGGCCCCTCAGCCCCGCCGCGGAACCTTCTCGGCTAGGGCGAGAGCTGCCGGAGGAATGGCTGCGGGCGGCCGCTTTCCCGAGCTCCCCTCAGAAACTCCAGCCGGACGGTCGCAACCGGAAACCAGCGCTGCAATTGCCATTCTCCCCGGCCCTCGCCCGCAGGCCCCGCCCCCTCTTCCCACTCCTGCTCCACCCGGCGCGGCCCCACCCAGCGCGCGCCCTGCGTCTTGACGTTACGCCCCGCACCACCACCCCCTCCTCGGCCGGCCGCGGTTGCTTATGGGACGTTCGCCTCTCGCTGCGGGCGCTTGCTCCGGTTTGTCCTCCCGCTGGCTCCCTCGGAGCGCGCCGGGCAGTGGGGCGGGCGACGCCCTTCAGGTAACGCCCACCGCGTCTGCCTCCAGTGCCAAGTGGGGACAGCAGGTCGAGCGCATCCTGGCCATTACTGGACGTTTCGCAGTCTGTTTTCACCCCCTTTTTTCCGCTCAGTGTTCACCTGCTTTATTGGCAGTCCTCCGGAGAGAAGAGCCGAGGTGTGGAAGCGGCTCTCTGCTATTCTTCGTTCCCAGAGAAATATCTCAGCCCTTAACAATCTGATATACTCAGAGCTACTTTAATCCAGACTCTGTGTTCATTCTCCTCCATCTTTTAATCCCTTTGAATTTTCTACTTACTCAAGACTTGGTATAGATTCTTAGTTGAATAAACAGATCCTTTTCCTGTCTCAATCCCGTTCTCTCCTAGTTTATTTCTCCTGAGGATTTAGATTTTTTCCTTAGAATACTGAGACATGGATATGATGGATTCCAAAATGTCCACCTACCATCTGTTACTTAATCTAAATATATCACCTTTCTATCCTTATTTCAGTGTGTCTAAATAAGAGAATTAACCAAGGAGCCATACGTCTTCAAAGCCCGCTTGGCATCTTTGGTAATCCAGTAAAATTTTCCCAGTTAGAAACAGGCTAGACAGTTTAGGGCTAAGTATCGTTGATCACACATCTTAAAGGGATATGATTTTCATTTATTGGAAGTTGAGAGCCATTATGTGTACACTTAAATGCTACCCAAAAGGCTGCAGGACACTTTAAGTCTACGAATAGTGCAGGAATAACTTTCCACTGTAGATGTTGTAATGGCTGGGAAGGGGGTAGCATATATCTGTATATACTATATAGAGCATTGTGCTCTAGTCACCATAGTTCCTAGAAATTAAATTTCTTTTTTTTTTTTTTTTTGTCCTGTCTTCCGAGAAATTGGATCTCCTATTACTCACTAGGCCAATAAGCATCTGCTAAGAAAGAGCTATATCTGAATTACATCTCCACTTGCCTGTGGAGGCACCTTGTGCTGGGTAGTTTTATTTCAATTTGAGACAAGCTAAAGTCGTTTGAGAGTAGGCATCCCCAATTAAGAAAATGCCTCCATAAGACTGGGCTGTAGGAAAGCCTGTAGGGTATTTTCTTAATTAATTTTCTTAATTGAAGGAGAGCCTAGCCCATAATGGATAGGTTTCATCCTTGGGCTAGTGATCCTGGTTTCTCTAGGAAAGCAGGCTGGGGCTGGAGAGAAGGCTCAGTGGTTAGAGTGCTGTCTGGTCTTCCAGAGGTCCTGAGTTCAGTTTCTTCTGACGTGCAGACATACATACAGATAAATAAGTAAATCTTTAAAACGGAAAAAAAAAGCAGTCTGAGCCATGAGAGGTAAGCCAGTAAGTAGCATCCCTCTATGGCCTCTGCATCTGCTCCTGTGGACAGGTTCCTGCCTGTTTTCCTGTCCTAACTTCTTTCAATGATCAGCAGTGATATGGAAGTGTAAGCCAACTTAAACCCTTTCCTACTAAAGTTGGGTTTTGGTCATGGTGTTTTGTCTCAGCATTAGAAACCCTAATTAAAACAAACCTATAGCTCAAGTCTGTTTGAGATGGGACAGGGATTTATCTAAAACAAACAAAACTTTAAGTCAGCCAGGCCCAAGGAGGAAATCTAGGATTCTTTCCAGACACTCTTACTTCAGTCACTTTCACTAAGTTCTGTTTACAATGTGTTAACAGAAGGGAAAGGGAGTTCTGCACCATCCTAAACCAGAGGGTGAGAGAAAGGTGCCAGGAGGTAGACTCTCTGTTCTCTGTGCTGTGTGCCTTTTGCCTTTTAGGGCAATAACTTCAAGTTTGGCTACCTCCTCCAAAAAGAATGCAGATGCTTAGGCTGCACCCTAGTGAAGATGGTTCTGGGTAGCCATATATTTTTTAAACTCCATATGATACAATGTACACCCAAGACTTACAACCACAGCTACAGCTTCACCATTTCTCCTTGGATTAATGCAAAGAAGTTACTTGGTCCCAGATGTTCATCATTGGTTCAAGAAGTATTTTGGTGCCTGCTAAATTGAGGGGTGATCAAAAGCCTCCCACTGTCTCCAGTGGGTTCTCTCTCTACCTGGTGGTTGGGATCAAGATGTGAGTTATCAACTATTACTGCCCCATGCCTTTATTCTACCATCATGCACTCTACCCTTCCAAAATTGATTAGATCCTCAAGAGAAACTAGAAGGAAAATAATACTTTGTTTTATAAATACCCTTGAGTCATGGTATTTTGTTATCATAGCAATAGGAAAATAACTAAGACACAAAGTAACAATAAAAAGCATCAAGCCCAATAATTTTATTTTGTTCTCTCAAACTAAAGTCAATTTGAGCTTGAGGATGCTTGATAACCAGAAGGTGCAGAGTCCTGGCAAGAAAACTTGTCAAGTTCAAGACAGAGGCTGAAGCACTGAGAATTAGAGGAAAGGGGTTATGATGGAAGAAATAGGTAGTATGAAGTCAGGTTATTGAACACTTTAAGGATATGGCAAGAGAAATGCTAAATGATTGGTATATATCAATGGGTTTTATAAAAGTAAACAGCATCTGTTTTGCATTTGAAACCTATCCCTGGGTACGTGCACCAGACTCTGGCAGACCAAAGGAAGCAGGAAGACTAAAGCCGTGGAAGAGATTCAATAGAGAAGTCATAGTTCTAAGCAGGTTGAGACTGTGGGAACAGAAACGCATGGTTTGCATATTTGTCTTAGGGTATAATTGGTAAGGCCTGCCTGGAATGCAATAAAAGGGGGGGATGAGAGAAGAGTGGGATTAAATAATAGCTACTCCTTATTGGGTACATCCTACGTGAGTACACCCTGCTCTGTTTTATTAGCATTAAGACATTTAATTATCACAAGGCACCAAAGATTGGTGCTGATGTTAACAACTAATTAACAAAGGAGAGTCTGAGGCTCAAGAGAGTAAGTCATTTGATCAGTTACATAGCTGGTGGCAACAAAGCTGAGATTTAGCTCAGCTAGGCTGTCTGGCTCCAGACACCCTCTAGCACTCTTCTGCCACACAGCTATTCCCAGCTCCTCACTAGAATCACAATCTAGGTGAAAATTTCCTCAGTTAATTATTACTTATAGTATCACAAATTCCTCCTCCTGTATTCCTTCTCTTCTGTCTCTTCCCTAGCCTCATTTTCTTTGTAGGTGTGACTCTGCTGTAACAATCCCTTCCCCTCTGCTCTGCATGGCTTCTTTTGCCAGTCCTCACTGGTCCTCACTGTGTAAGTGAAACATGTTTAGTTACACACCTACCCTGTGTTTAGCTCTAATTTTCCACATGAAATGCTACATTATTGTGTTTTAGGGCTTTCCCACTAAATGTTGATGCCTGACACAAGGGAAAGAAGAAGGAAACAAAAAAGGTTAGCTGTGAACACAGGACACCCAGAGAGACATCAAAGTCTTACCCCTGCCCTCAAGCCACTAGAAACTTGGCAGAAAAAAAAAAATGACACACAGAAAAATCACTCTAGCCTAGTGTGGGAGCACACACCTTTAATCCCAGCACTCTGGAGGCCAAGGCAGGTGGATCTCGGTGAGTTTGAGGCCAACCTGCTCTACAGAGAGAGGCCCTGTCTCTAGCAAAAATGAAAAAAAAAAAAGTCACTCTAACCTGGTGTGGTGGCAACCTGCAATCCCTGTGCTGGGGAGGCTGAAGTTGAGCTTGGAGAATTGGGCATCTGAGGCTAGCCTGGACTATTGTAGCAAGTTCAAGGCCAGTCTTGGCTGTATAACAAGCTATCTCAAAAAGTAACTATCTAATTAAAAGGGTTCCATTAATACAAGGACCAAAAGAATGATAGGCAGAACATTATAGAAACATTAATTCTGTCTGAGGTCACTAGAGGCCAAGATGCTTTTTTAGCTGAGGATGACCTGAAACTTAGGACTCTGCCTACTCAGTGTATTATTACCCTGTCTTTTGTGGGGCTAGGGATTGAACTCAGCAAGAAGCTTGGTCTTAGGGTTATTCCTGGGGCAGGAGGATGGCGGATGTAACTAGGAATGGCAGCTCAGGCTTGATTCTCTCTTGTCATTAACAGGGCATGAAGAGATTGTCTTTAGCCCAAGGACATAGGAGACTCAGCTGGTACAATTGATCATTGCCAAGAGTGTTCTCTTACTTGTCTACTGTACTGCCTGGATCACGGGACCCTCAGAGACCACCAGGAGACGACTCGATGCAATAGCAAGAGAGCTTTATTACGAGAGCAATCGAACTTGGGACCCAAGTCTCACTGATGCAGCAGTAGAGAAGTGGGACCTCGAGCTCTGAGTGAGTAGGATCTTTAAAGGGAAAGTCTGTGAGCAGGGGTTTCCATGACAGCAAACGGGGGGGGGGTGAGGGTACAAGCCTTGGAGATACAGGACTGGGTAAAAGTTAGAGGGGTGAGGTGACCTTCTCTGAGGCACATAATCACAATTGTCTAAGGCATATAATCACAATTGCTATTCTTCTAAACTATATATATATAATTGCTTATATATTATATAACATATATATATTACACAATTGCTATATATT